CGCTCGCAGCAGAGGCAGCGGTAGGCTGTTCTAGACGTTTCTTTGCTGGTGGTAACTTACATATGTTCAAGTATATACATAAGCAATAAATTAGTAAATACATACTTACCTATCCCAAAAAAATTTATATATTTGTATTCTGTGAATACGCAGAGAATGTGTATTTTGGAATTTCCCTCCCTCCCCCCTCTCCCACGCAAATCGTGATTTTCTCTAACTCCCGTTATTCTTGCAATGCACGAACAAATACGAGTACACATGTGTGTTACCGAATTCTGCACAAAATGATATGCAGTTGCAAATGTATACATATATGTACATGCATACACACACCAATGTATGTGCATAATAAGTGAAATGTATGCATGTGTGTACATTACAAAAGCAAAACAAAACATTTATTAGCTTTGTCACAATTAGAACGAGCATCGCGACCCGACGTACGCTACCGCCACCCAATACTAACGACTCGTCAAAATGCTGCTTGAGTTGAAACAGTTGAAGAGAACAATAGCAAAGCAAAGAAAAGTAACTGTAAAACTTATACCGCAACCATTGTTGCCAATTCGGCGTTTTCCCGTCAAATCTGGTTGTTTTTGAAATGTGACTGCGGGCAAATATTCGAAATGGCTGGAAGGAATTCTAGCCTTTTAAAAATACATTTAGCTTTTTTTCCGCTTTTTGTAATTTTGTCAACATTTAAGTAAAAAAAAAAATGGAAACTAGGCAGCTTTATCATTGTCATTAGAAGCAGCAATGTGCCTCTTTGTTGCTCAGCATACAGCAATAGCGCAGATTGACCGTTTTGAAGAACACATAACAAAATGAGTAAATATCTTTTAAAGTGTTCACCAAGATGATACAAAAAATACATTTTTATAAACATTTCTTGTAAAAATAAATGTAGCTTTTTATTACGCTTTTTTGTAAAGTTTTTTCAGCTTTATTTCACTCTCTTTTCCGTTAAAAACAGCTTTTTTACTTCTAAAAAGCTGGCAACACTGATCTTAAAACACGCAGTGCGACAAAAGATGGCAACAGTAAAAACTGAAAACGAAATTTAAACTGCTGCTCGCAAAACAGCAAAAGAGGAAAATGTGCAAATGCTTGTAAACATATATGTATGCTAGATTGCCAAAAAATAAAGCTAAAAAAAGCTTAATCCAAGGCAAAATAAGCTAAAAACAAGCCGGCTTTAAAAACACTATTTTCTTGGTTAAATTTGAGGAAATATCTGTTTTAATGTTTTCATATTAATTCTATATTCTTAATTCATAATTTATAATAATAATATGGGATTCTTGTAAAAATAATTATAGAAAATTCTCATTAAAATCAAGTTAAAAATTCTACAGTTGTTCAGTTTCAGTTCAGTCTTGTTACGATTAAGTCCGTATCTTAAATAGAAAATTAATTAATACAATTATGAATATGGTTTATTTTGCTGGCAAAAAACATAACTTACGCTTAAAATGTAGTTAAGCGTATTTAAATTCATCCCATTGCTTAATTTGGATTTAACTAAGTTCACCTGTCTGTAGACCCGCTCCACTTCACGAAGTCCTTGTTATTACATAAAACATTATTCAATAAAACAAACTCGTATAGAATACACACATAAGGCATCTTTGTGCAAAATTTGGTGTCTCTATCTCTTATAGTCTCTGAGATCCAGGTGTTCATACGGACGGACAGACGGACAGACTGACAGACGGACAGACAGACAGACAGACAGACAGACAGGGCTAGATCGACTCGTCTCGTCATGCTGATCAAGAATATATATACTTTGTGGGGTCTGCCACGCCTCCTTCTGCCTGTTACATTTTTCACCTCCCGCAAACCTAATATACTTCTGTACATTTCATGTACAGAGTATAATAAACTTGACCTGCCTAGGGCTTAGGGGAACCTGGATACCACGTTTGGTAATTCTAGTTCTTGTACCTTCTGAGATCCTGGCGCTCATACTGTTGCATACTGTTGCTCAGCACTGTTGTATGCACATGTATACTTGTGCACACATATATTCAAACTGCAGAAGCGGCGCGGACCGACCGCCTCTGTTGACTGCCTCTAACCATATGAATTGATATTCGCCCACAGGGACCACGAGTGTGACAGCTCCTAGCTAGCTGTTCGGCTATGTGCCGAATGGGAGCTGTCGCTCACAATTTTAATCGGGCGTCTTCGTTGTATGAAATGACGCAACTATATGTTGCATGGTTAGTGCTATAAGAGATTTATTTAATTTAAATATAGCTAACAAAGACAAATTCTACGGTGATGATAGGTAGGTCTATTAGATTTAATTTGAATATATAAGGAGGCAAGCGGCTCTACGGGTTCCAATTTAGACTCCGAAGAGCAAACAGTAAGAATGGTTTTTGAACAGATTCAATCAACATTTGTTGTTCATTGTATTGTGGGATCTATACACCAGAGCAATATTCCAAGATAGGGCGAACTAAGGATATATACAATGATTGCGTAGTGTACGGATCATCAAACTCTTTTGACCAACGTTTTATAAAAGCAAGAAGTCCTCTTGCTTTCGTGAGAATAACTAAAACAATAGAGACACCAAATTTTGCACAAAGATACACATAGGCATCTTACGCTATACGAGTTTGTTTTATATTTTTGATTTTCCTCTCCACTTCCCCCCTATGGGGGATTTTGCGGAAACGCCGTTCGTATAATCATGTATGTCTCGGAGACTATAAGACCTAGCAGCACCAAATTTGAGACTAAGGTGCCTTTTGTAAATACACAGAAAATGTGTATTTTGGAATTATGAGTCCGTATGCCAAGTTTCATTATGATAGACTTATTTAAAAGGAAGTTATAGCCATAAATATAATTGCTGGCCAAGCGCTGCCCGCAGCTGTTGTTGATGTTGGTGCTTTGGTTGACTGCAAATATATAAATACACTCACATAGACGCAATTGCTATATAAATGTTCAATTATACGCCCTTTACGTGAGTTCGAATACCGAGAGAGGCAAAATCGATCAACATTTTTATACTCTGTACATGAAATGTACAAGAGTATATTAGGTTTGCGGGAGCTGAAAAATGTAACAGGCAGAAGGAGGCGTGGCAGACCCCACAAAGTATATATATTCTCGATCAGCATGACGAGACGAGTCGATCTAGCCCTGTCTGTCTGTCTGTCCGTCTGTCTGTCCGTCTGTCTGTCCGTCTGTCTGTCCGTCCGTATGAACACCTGGATCTCAGAGACTATAAGAGATAGAGACACCAAATTTTGCACAAAGATGCGTTATGTGTGTATTCTATACGAGTTTGTTTTATTTTTTTGATTTTCCCCCCCACTTCCCCCCTATGGGGGTTTTCCCGATTTTCCATTCGTATATCTCGGAGACTATAAGACCTAGGAACACCAAATTTTAGTCCCAGATGCCTTATGTGAATACGCAGAAAATGTATATTTTGGAATTCCCCTCCCTCCCCCCCTCTACCCCGAAAATCGTAACTCCCGTAATCTTGGAATTTCGAACTAAAATTTTGGAAATACCCCCAGTTGGTTATTATGTGTCCGTATGCCAAATTTCACTATAATAGACCGATTTAACAAGAAGTTATAGCCATAAATATATTTGCTGCTGCAGCGCTGCTCAAGCGCTGCCCGCGGCTGTTGTTGATGTTGCTGTTTGGTTGACTGCGAAAATGCTTACACAGACACAAATAGATGCGCATAGGCATACATACACTCACACAGACGCAATTGCTATGTAAATGTGCAATTATACACCCTTTACGTGAGTTCGAATACCGAGAGAGGTAAAATCGATCAAATTTTTTTTTATTTTCTTAATTTTTTTATTTTCTATAATTATTGTAAACATATGTACAGAGTATTTCAAAGTCGGGACACCCGACTTTAGCTTTTTTACTTGTTTTTAAATGTTCTTATTATTCTAAACATACATATGTATAGAGTATTTAAAAGTCGAGACACCCGATTTTTGCTTCTAAACTTGTTTTTATTTAAAATTTTTTACTCTTCTCAAAACGAATTAAATATTATTACTATTAAAAATGTTTCTTAGTGTTATAAATTCTGCACAAAAAACCACTGTTTAATAATTATCAAGATTTTAGTGCAAGGTGCGGCCTTAGCCGCTTTACCTATTAAATAGCCTTTCGGCGTAAGCCTATGAGGGGAACGAGTTCTCTACTTAATGGTGATTGCTGCCAACTTTTTATACCCTGTACCCAAAGGGTAAAAGGGTATATTAGTTTTGTGCGAGAGTGTACATGTAACACACAGGAGGCATGGCAGACCCCACAAAGGATAAATATGTACAGACAAGGGCGTAGGCAGCTTTTACCAAAGGGTGCAAAAAATTAAAATTTTGATTAAATAATGCACGATGCATTTAAAAAATAACTTATGCATATGATCAATGAAAAAACTTGAACAAATCCAACTGAACTCCAACGACCCCCCCCCCCCCCCCCCCCCAACCCCCTGCCTACGCCCTTGTGTACATATGTATATTCTTGATCGCCATGACAAGACGAGTTGATTAAGCCCAGTCTGTCCGCCGATATGAACACTTGGATTTCAGAGACTGTCAAAGATAGACCAAATTTTGTTTTCAGATGCTTTATATGTATGAGTACGAGATTATTTAATTTTTTGTTGATGACGGAGGATGCGCCACAAGTGTAATTTCTTTATTAATTTTTTTGTAATTTTTTCTATAAATATTGCACACATACATATGTAGATTTCAAAGTTGAGGCACCCGACTTGATCTTTTCCATTTGTTTTTTTATTATTTAAATTTTGTTATTTGTTTCAATACATAATGGTAGAGAGTATTTCAATGCCGGAGCACCCAACTTTCCACTTCTTCATATCTGTTTGAAATAAATGGCTTTTCTAATAGTACAACGGTCTGATCTAGCTGGATGAATGATAATAGGGGAGCCGAGGAGCTGCAAGAGGACAAAGTGAAAACACAAATAGTTTGCTTTAAAATAATTATTCAAGTTTTATTTATGTGAAAAAATGCGGCATGTTTCGTTCAGTGTTTTGTGTTAAAAACAAAATTTTACAGTTCACACATTAAAATAATTAACCAGTACCAATACAAAACCAAATCATGCGGTTTTCGATTCATTTAAGTATTTATATTTTTCAAAATATATTTCGCTGTCACGCGCTTTTCCGCCAGACCCAAAATGCAGATATAATTAATGTAATTAATTGCTTACATAAAACACTTGGCATTCGTCTCTCCTTATATATGCGTATCTTTCCTTATTTGTTGTGTATGCTCTTTTCTTAAGTCAAACAATTATGAGAATCTTTTTACAAATTATGCGTAATGTGTGTAAACATATTAATAATAATTATTATTAAAAAAAAAATCAAAAAAATGTTTGCAACTATAGCTAACAATTTTGTTTATAAGCACTTCAGTTTCCAAACTAATAGCTAACATTTAATAACTATTACTAATCATTAGACAATCATTAAGGTATTCATACAAATTATGTATTACATAATTAAAACGTAGTCGCATGTTGCATCATAATGTGTGCATGTGTATCATATGCACTTTCCACTTATTGTTATTTACTTTTAATTATTTGTCCTTTGTGCTAGACGTTCGCGCCATAGAAGACAACTAAGGACATGAAAATTAGCCAAATAGCTTATATCGAATCAAAATAATAGGCGCTACTGGAGCCAATGGAAAATAATAATAAAAAATACCGGAAATATTAGTCCTTCTTAGTTCTTCTTCATATATGTTTTGTTTTGCGTTTTGCAATAACTCATGTCATTTATATATAAATTAGATACATTCGTGTCTATATCGTATAATTTTTAGCGCGCACTGTACAACAAACATTCTAAATAATTTAAGTTACTAAAAATATTACGTTTTTAAGGGCTAAGCAAAAAAAAGTCGTCTTTTAAAATTTAAATCGAATGCTAACTTTTGTAAGCATTTACATATAAGTCGAAACAAGTGTGTGGGCTGGTTTATAGTTACATAACACGGTCGTTTGGCCTTTTAAAAAGACTCACGCGCCCCTACACTCAAATAATCTAATCCCAGCCCCATTTCCGGCAATTCCAGTTTCATGTGGAGCTTCCTAGGACTTGTGCAGCGATGCCACCGCCGCCGCCGCTGCTGCTGCTGCTGCCGCCCCTACGCGCCTTTGTCAAATATAGATCGCCTCAGAGCCCTTATTGGCCTGATGACCACCAGAGATATATAAATTGTTTGCTGCCGGCGATTGTACGCCCTCTGACCAGTCAGAAGTGGAGCGCGGCGAGGACGAGGACCAATGTCCGGGCGACTCTGGCGACGGTGTCGGATAGCTGTCCAGCGTCTGCACCAGATGCTGAGGCGTGTGTGCGCCTGAATGTTGACTGGGCGGCGTAAGGTACTGATAGAAGGCCTGGTTGTGTTGTGACGAGGGCGATAGCATATTGGTTGACGGTGAGGATCCAGACATTGTACTTTGTATTGAGGGCGGATTCATTTGACCCGAGTGAAATGAGTCTGTGGGTAAAATGATATATATATATATATATATATATATAGATTTAGTTCCATATTGCACTGCATTCAAATTTCACCCACACTTACCCGGAGATCCACAAAATCCGTTTAAATCTAAGCCTGCTGAACCAAATTCAAGGCCTCCAATTTGTTGTTGTTGCTGCTGCTGTTGTTGTTGTTGCTGCTGTTGTTGTTGTGTCAGCGATTGCATTATTGCACTGCTTTTTGTGTTATTAGACTGCGACTGCTGTTGTTGTTGGGGCGCCATCATAACACCCATGTCACTTCCCGTGGGCGAAATAATTCCAAGACTCACGGGCGAGCTCTGGCTGCTGGAAGACTGAAAACTCAGGCTGTTGGGCGATGAGCCCGCCGCACTGCTATTGCTTTGCGGTCCACCGTTCGACGTCCCAATGCTGGTGCTGTTGCTCCCACCGCCCAGCAGACTGTTAAGGTTGCTGCCGAATTGCTTCTGATGAGTTGCGTGACGCATCGCCTGCATGTGGGTTGGCGAAGTCGGCAGACTGGGTCGTGACTTCGCGGGCGAAGGTGAGCCTGGGAGAAGAGAAAAAGAGCATGTTATTCTGTTCGTTCTTACATGGTATAAGCAATTTTTATATATCCCTAGAGTTGCCATTTATGTCATTATGTTATTTCACTCTATAACTTTTAATATATTTAAATACGTATGTACTTAAGTATCTATATATATAAAACAGTTTGTCCTGACTGAATGACTGACTGATTGATTGGCAATCAACGCACAGCCCAAACGGTAAGAGCTACGAAGCTGAAATTTGGACACAAGTTTCCTTTCACAGTAAAAGTGAGCACTAACTCGAACGTCAAAGGGAGGAAAACGGGCTCCAAAGATTGTATGAAAAATCTGAAATTTTCATTCGATTGGCCTTAAACTTGGTTTTTATAGCCTATAAAAGAATGCAAAAAAAAGCATACTCAGTTGTTCGAAATTTGTCTTGGAGCTTGAATTAATCACTTTCTCAAATGAAAAGTTTGGGTTATAAATTTCGTCCGATCGATTTTATGTTTGGGTAACTAAATCTACAACTTTTCCAAATAGAATTATTTAATAATATAATTTCAAACAGAGGATAAGCTATTGTTTTCAATACAAAGTTTGATTTGTTCTATTTGATCTAAATTAACTATAAAATGTTATTATTCAAATCTTCTTTTTATTGCATTCAAACTTCGGTGGAACTATCGATAATATCGATGGATGTTACCATGTTTCATATTCTGATTTCGTGCGGTATCGTGTTGACTGAATAAGGCAAAGAAAAGACACAAATATAATTAATAATAATTATTCCAATCTTTTGCACAAATTCTATCTTAAAGCGTTTTGTTATGTACAAACATATATGTATGTATTTTATTGTTGGAAAAAAGCAAGGGATTTGGATGAAAAGCGCATATCCAAAAAATAACAATGTTAATATTTGCATACATTATTATATACTGTACCCAAAGGGTAAAAGATGGCGATGCCAAGTATGCGTTACAAAAATATATGTGGCATAATAAATTAAATTTAAAATATTGCTTATGTATTCATTTTTTGTGGAATTGGGTAAAGGGTTTTTAAAAGTTGAGCCCGCTCGACTCTGGCATTCCTTTTTTGTTGTTTCCTTAATTTGCTTTAATTTTACTGAGAATTAATTATTAAATTGTCGATATTAGTCTAAATTTGGTTCAATTTTAAATATTATTAAATTTAATTTAGACTGAAACAAAATATCCTGCTCATCCTTTAAAGCTATAATGATAAGAAATTATTTCTGCACAGTGACTTCTTGCAAAAAATATTTTGTTGAACCAGTAGGACCTTAGAGCAGATCAGTCTTTGTAAGTACAACTGTAATAGTTGATTTCCTACTGCTTTAGTATAATGTTACAAATCAAATATTTATTTCAAATAATGACCATAGCAAGGACTCGGCTTAAGAATGAATTGCTTTTTCTTTGGTGTTTTATTTTTTTCCATTTAAAATGGTAAGAATCGGTCTTATAAGTAGTATCTGACCAAATGTGATGATGAACTGACTTCTAGATGAGATACAATTCAATATATACATTTTTCGTAATTTTCGGGCAAATTGTACTGCAAGCGAGTTTGTCAACTAAACCAGCCTTCGATGGAACCATTTTCCAAAACTTTATTAGACTCACCCATATATGCGTGCGGTGAAAGCGCCATATTGCTTTGCACCGAGTGGGGTGGCGATTGATTTGAATAAGGCGGACTCAGACCCTGCTCGTGGCCGCCCAACAAATTGGTGCCATTGGGCGGCCCACCAAGACCACAAAGTGTGTTGCGTCCAGTCATTCCTAGTGCTTGGCCATTCAGCAGTTCCTGGTGAAAGGGCGAGCCCATGGAGTAACCATAATTCTCCAGCTTTATCATGTCCAGGCTGTTTGCTGGCAGCGATTGCAATGACTGCGCGTTCTGTGAATGTATAAGTGTGTTTTATTATGTGAACTTATTAGTATGATAATTACACTAACCTTGATGCAATCCTCATAGGTGGGTGGCTGCTTGCTACCATTGTTGCTGAGTGTGTTGCCCGTGCTATTGCTGCCTAGCAGTTCTCCAGCATGCGGATGCGGCGGCGCTGCCATTGCATTCGAATACATGGACGTTGTGTCATAGGGACTGGGCAAACTGTTCAGGCCTGTAGTTGTTGGTGGTGGAGAATCTAAAGTACTGGCATCCAACAGCTGATTGCTGCTACTGTCGCCATGAGCCGCATGACCCGTCGTTGGGTTCGTCGTTGGCGCCAACCCATTGAGCAGCTGAGCGGCAGTCAGCCCATTGACACCCTTTTTTGACGCCGTTCCGCCACCGCTCGATGCATTGGTGCCCTTTTTTGAGCTCGCCTTGCGACGCAGGCTGCCAGCACCGGCAGCAGTCACATGGCCCTCGATAAGCCCGTTGTCGGGGCTGCCCTCGATCAGTTTAGCTTTTTTGGCTGCCTTGTTCTTGGCAGCCTGTGTTGTCTGCTTGCCAGCTGCTATCACCGTGGGCTGCGTGATCATTTGTGGTTGTTGTCCAGGTGGTGGTGATCCAATCATGGCCTGTGGAGTCATTGTTATCATTTGTGGGGACCGTGGAACATGTTCATCGAGCAAACGGACAATGTCATGGTGCAGACGTTCGGAGGCCACATCACGGGGCAAACGATCCATGTGATCGGTTATCTCACGATTGGCGAAGTTATCGAGGAGTGCTTTACATGCCTCGTAGGATCCCTCGCGGGCTGCCAGGAAGAGAGGCGTCTCATCCTTATCATCTTGTGCATCACGATTGGCGTGATGCATGAGTAATATGTTGACGGCCTCAGTATTATTGACAGCAGCAGCCCAATGCAGGGCGGTTTTGCCCGAATTGTCGGCAGCGTTGATGTCTGCATCGGCCGTTATCAAATCCTCGACCATGCCTTCTATGGCCAGACGGGCGGCAAGAATCAGAGGCGTTGTGCCATCGTGCATACGTGCGTTCAGGTTCGTCGCACGATTGCGAAGCAAAATTTGGAATACACCCATAGCATCGGCGGCTACTGCAGCATGCAATGGCGTGCGTCCTGTATTATCCTGACAATTGGCGTCGGCACCAGCGTCTAGAAGTCGCTTTGCAGCATCCGCTCGGGCATACCGTGCGGCCAAATGTAATGAGGTCTCACCAGTCTTATCCATTGTGGCATTTAATTCAGCGCCCTGTGCCAACAAATCTGAAATCACTTGCGCCGTAGTATCGTCCGTATTCTCGATATCTTCGCCTGTATCTAGGCCACCACCACGGACGGCTGCAATCATTAAAGGTGTAAGACCGCAAGGACCTCTTGCATCAACATCATGTTTGCCATCCTGATGCGCCGGTGGCGTCATTATTGAGCGCACATCTGCCACATCCAAATGTGCCTGGGACCATACGCGTTGATCTGCCTCTTCGTATTCAGTGACCATTGTATGATCACTTGCATACCCACCATGTTCGTTACGTATGCGTTTCGGTTGCGGCATATCCGACTCATCATCAGACCACTGTGGGGCATGATGACCACCCATGTGTCCCGAATTCATATTTACATCATTGCTCATGCACGCCATCGAGGGCTGTTTATTCAGATTACGCATTTCCTGCCCATTGGTATCACGTCTGCGTCTCTGTCCGCGCGCTATGGCATTTGCTGGAGTACGGAAACCTTCGGGGAACCAAGTGACTCCATGGGCTCGCTTCCTTTGCGTGGTCACCACCATTCCAAAGAAGGCCAAAAGGAGGACACCTAAAATTATTCCCGTGATAACATATTTCAGATTTGTCGGGGAGTCGGGTTGATCTTCGCCAGGACTCTGTACTCCACGTACACTATATATGGGAAATTTCTGTGGGAATGTGTGTTTTGATGCGGTAGCGGCCAAATATTCTGCAGCTTCGGCGGCTCGATTGAAGCATTCGGTGCACTTGCGATTATCAATTTCCAAATAGATTTGTATGCCCGTCTGTCCATTGCGTTCGGTGAAAAGTATTTTATGCTTGCGTCCGAATTCCGTGTCCTCAATATCTGGCATACGTGAAGCACCCTTCCAGATAAAGATCATATCATTGCCCATAGAATCTTTCTTTATACGCACTATGGTGCGAAGAACGTGGCTCATTTCGCGCAAGAATTCGATTTGTTGTTCCCGAAATTGCTGAATATCCAAAAGCATGACCACAGAAATGGCGCCATCGGCTAGGACTGGACTCTCTTCCTTTTGCTCACAGTCTAGGCCATCCCAACCGCATTCGGCATTGTTGCATCCGTAATCACAGAATCCATCTCCATAGTGTTTCTGACAATACGCATCGTATACGGCATTACATCGGTTCAGTTTCTTCTCACAATCGCGTCCGTCATAAAGACAGCCCGTGTTGTTACACTCCTTATTGCACTGCCCGTCCATGAAGACACGCCAGCATTCGGGTGCTGTACAATTAGCCCACGGATTAATACCCAACGAGCAATCATTTCCATCGAAGTTACAGGCGTAATTATTGCATTCGACATCACAAACGCCATTGCCTTTCTTCTGTTCACAATTACGCTTGTTGCATAACTCACGTTGATACTCCAAATCGGCGGCATATTTATTTGAAGCACTTCGACTTGTGTCGGAAACCCATCCTGGATATTTTGGATCATAGATTTCACAACGTTTTCCGGTCCATTTGCTGGGACAAAAACAATCAAAGTCCCCCAGTAAATTGTCGCACGCAGCACCTTGTAAGCAAGGATTGGGATTACACTCATCTATTGTGTCCAGTTCGCAGTGGACGCCCGCAGTGCCACGTGGGCACTTGCAGCGATAGCCACCGGCATCGGCAATAATGCAAGTGCCTGCCTGACAGGGATTTGAATCGCAGTCATGTCCGCTGAACTCACAGTTCTTGCCATAGAAACCGTCGGCACAGACGCAATGATGTCCGCTCTGCTTTGTAGAGCAAACGCCACCATTTTCACATGGCGAGTTAGCACAGAAGTCCACCTTGTTCTCGCAATGACGTCCCATGTAACCGGGCTTGCAGTTGCAGTGATAGTTATTGACAAGTTGCACACAATCTAAGGTGCCGGCGTTGGAACAGGGGTTGGAGAGACACTCATTAATGTCACCCTCACACCGAGAGCCCACAAATCCCGGTGGACAAGCGCATTCCAAGCCACCCACACGATCAATACAGGTTCCATTGTTATGACAAGCTCCAGGCACGCAATCATCCTGATTCAGTTCGCAAATTATGCCTAGTGTTCCGGGCGGACAAGAGCAGCTAAAGTTTTGCACCAGATCATGGCAAGTTCCACCATTTTGGCACGGATTAGGAGAGCAGTCGTCAATGTTTAACTCACAGTTCTGTCCTTGAAAGCCGTTGCGGCATACACACTTGTAGGCGCCTACCAGATCGCGACAAGTGCCGCCATTTTGGCAAGGCTGTGATTCACACTCGTCGATTTCTTGTTGACAATAGCTGCCCGTATAGCCTTGGGAGCAGTAGCAAAGGTGACTGTTGCCATGAGTCTTACATGTGCCATTGTTACAAAGTTGTTTGAGGCTCACGCCTTTTCTTATGGCGGCATCCTGACAGCTAACCATTTCCACATCGCACAGTTTGCCAGTCCATCCGGAGTTACATTTGCAGCTATATTGGTGCCCCACTTGGGAGCAGGTGGCACCATTTTCACAGGGAGACTGAGCACACCAATCTACATATTCCTTGCATTGTTTGCCCGTATAACCAGTTGGACAATGGCAGGTATACTCATCGCGACTCTCGTGACAAGTAGCACCATTTTGACATGGCGAGGAGTCACATTTATTCACCTTGTATTGACAATTGGAACCTGTGAAGCCAGGTAGACAGGAACAGTTGTACCCATTGATACCATCCACACATGTTCCACCATTCATGCAAGAGGATTCTGTGCAATCTTCGTCATTGGTCTGGCAATTGATACCAGAAAATCCAAGGGGACATGTGCAGGTATATGAGTTGACATACTGCCGACATGTAGCGCCATTTTGGCAAGGCATGCTCATGCATTCGTTGATGTCCGTCTCGCAGTGCTTGCCATCAAAGCCATCAACACATAGACACTGATAATCTCCAATGCCATCCAGACAAGTACCACCATTCTGGCAAGGAAATGAAGCACAATCATCCGTGTTGATAGCACAGTCACGTCCCTCATAGCCTTTGTCACACAGACAACGATACGATCCGGGAACATTGAGGCAAGTGGCCCCATTTCTACACGGCGTTGATGGCTCACACTCGTTTATGTCCTCGTGGCAATAACGACCCGTATAGCCAAGTTTACAACTGCACGAAAAGTCCAAGTAATTCGGCGAAGGCGTGCATTTTGCATCATTGCGGCAACGATTTGTGGAGCAGGGATCCAATTTGCTTTCGCAATCGCGACCGGTGAAGGGAACTTTGCACACGCATTTGTACCCGTTGACCTTGTCAATGCAAGTGCCACCATTTGCACATGGATTTGTCACGCAATCGTCAATATTTGTCTCACATTTGTAGCCGGTATAGCCTGGCATGCATTGACACGTAAAGGAATTCAGCTGATCGAAACAAATGCCACCATGTTGACAAGGATTTGAGCTGCATTCATCAATATCTACGTCACAACGCTTGCCACTATAGCCCGGTGGACAGTGGCAGATGAATTCATTAATTCCATCCTCACAGCGTCCCTCGTTTGTGCATGGATTGGAGGCACATTCATCCACATCGCTTAAGCAGCGCGCATCGTAAAAACCTCTGGGACATTCGCATTTGTAGCCATTGACCAGATCCATACAGACGCCATTATTCGCACAGGGGTTGGAAGCGCATTCATTTACGTTGATCTCACAATGGACGCCTGTGAAACCGGGCACACATTTGCAGGTGTATTTATTGATCCCGTCGATACAGGTGGCGCCATTGTTGCATGGATTGCTGTGGCACTCGTTAACATTGATCTCGCAGTTCTTGCCTGAAGTTCCGGGCAGACAGTGGCACATATAAAAACCAACACGGTCCACGCAGCGTCCACCGAATTGACATGGATTTGATTCGCATTCATTGATTTGTATTTGGCAAAGTGAACCTGTGAACCCTGGATCACATACACATTTGTATGCGTTATCGCCATCGATGCACTTTCCACGATGGCAGGGATTTGAGTCGCAATCATTAATATTGATTTCACAGGATGCTCCCGTATAACCTGGGGGACACTCACATGTATAGCCCGCTATAGAGTCGTGGCATATCCCATTGTTACGACAAGGCTGTGATTGACAATCATCAATATTGATTTGACAACGGGCACCGGCAAAGCCCAAGGCGCAGGAGCATTTAAAGCCGTTGATCATGTCGTGACAGGCACCATCATTGAGACACGGACTCGACTGACACTCATCGATGTCTATTTCGCACTGGGTGCCTGTAAAGCCCGGCATGCAAACGCAACGGAAAGTTCCTGGATCATCTAGGCAGCTGCCCTCGTTCTGGCAAGGATGTGATTCACACTCATTAATATTGGTTTCGCAACGTGGTCCTGTAAATCCTTGCGAACAGTTGCACATGAAAGAGCCTGGCGTATTCACACAAATGCCATTGTGTTCGCATGGTGATCCTAAATCACATTCATCAATATCCTCCGAACAATCGCCACCTTTGTAACCAGTGGCGCAAGAGCAAGCATAGGAGCCGTTGATGGGACTAGTATCGCATATGGCATCGGCGTGACAAGGATTCGAGGTGCAAGCATCGTCCAGATGGCAGAGCAGACCCGTCTTGCCCGGTGTGCAACGACAATAGAATGAACCAACGCCATCGATGCAGGTGGCACCATCAAAGCATGCGGCCTGTCGGCAGTCATCGATGTTCTCACTGCAATCGGTTCCAGTCCAACCATTGACGCAGATACAGGAATAGGAGCCGTGCGTATTGGTGCACGTGGCACCATTCTGGCATACGGAGGGACGCAGGGCACACTCATCCACATCCACTTCACAATAGAGCCCCGTAAAGCTAGGCGGACAATTACAGCGATAGGCATTTATAGTGTCCACGCAAGTGCCGCCATTTTGGCACATGTTCCCTGGACAATCGTCGATGTTCTCTTCGCAGTTTTTGCCTTCGAAGCCTAAAGTAATAGAAGAGATAGAAATTAAATCTTATGTTCGCTTGGTTTTGATGGAGATGGGCAAAAATATTTGATATAAATATAATATATGGAGGACATTTTAAGTTCGAAAAGGCTGGCATCTTCAAATTCTGCAGTAATTTCTGGAGCTGTTTCAAATCGGTTGCGTAGAGATATTCGGACTAAATTCTTGTCCTGACGCCCACTAGTCATCCTTGGACGTCCGCTGCCAGACTGGCGCCCTAAACCCTCGGTTTTTTAATAAGTATTTTACCTAAAATCTCCTTACAGATGATTCTTTACACAATATTTGCTCAGATCAAGCAATGTTTGATAAGTTTAGTTTTTTAAAGCTAATAATATTCATTTTTTCGATTTCTGTTCAAACCTTGGCATCAGGTCATGTATGAGTTTGATGTAAAAATTCAATCAAAACTGCTAATAGACATAAAGTGATATCGCTTTCTAATTTTATGCAACGCAATCATTTGCGATACCTTAGGAGTGTTCTACGGACTTAAGGAATATACATAATTTAATTTAGAAACCAAAACAACAACGGATTCAAGTTATGGATTCCTACAGTAAAACATATCAGTTTCAAATACTTGAGGATGGTATGGGATAAATATGTACATATGTATACTATATACTAGTATGTACGTAAAAACAGTCAGCAATTCAATGTTTTCCTCCGGTATGTGTGTAAACAGTGTATAAACAGATTTATAGAAACATCATAAAATGTTTCAATAAATGCAAACGATTATAGCTACGTATGTATGTATGTAGAAAAAACTGTATGTAAAAAAACTGACTGGACAATAGTACATAGTATGTTCGTTGCTGGTGGTGGTAGTGGTGTTGGTTGTTGTTGGTGATGGGAGAAACGCGAACGCGTGCACAAAGCGCACATAAAAAATGTATGAGGGAATGCAACGTCCACCGTCGTCGTCTTTGAGGGAGCGCTGCAGCTGCGGTGCACATGTTTAGCTTGCAGCATTTTAAGATGAGAAAACCGGAGAGCGAAGAGCGCTAAGCGAGCACAGGTACGTGGTGCGATCAAGCAGACGTCGCTTTCACGCTCTAACAATTTATTCGATCCTCTCATTCGCTCAGCAAAGTTGCGGCAGGCTGGCAAAGCATATTCCACTATAGTATGTATTAAAGCATCCGCAATGTACGAGTACTTAAAAAAGTACAGTAAGGGTTGGTTAACAATAATTTTAAGAGCTAACGAAAGTAGATTCCATTTCGAATTTTTGGTTTGTTTGTCTTAATAATAAAATTCAAAAACTGTCGTTCGCCTTTATTAATGCTTTAATGTTGTATTTACATACATTTTTGTATGTAAATTTATGTAAGTGTACCGTTTCATACCCTATAACCAAAATGTGAAATGGTTAACTAATATAATCTGTAGTTTCACCGGAATCGGTGCAATATACTTGTAGGAACGGTTGGTGTAATAAACTAAAATTTGGTGAATTGGCTGTGGTGGAATGGTGCGGAAATAGGGTACACAAAAGTCGGGCCCGCGCAGCGTTGATTTGGGTACATGTACATACACATACATAAGTATGTACATGTATGTATGTATACATGTACATATGTATGTACATACATATATCTGAATTGAGATTCGGGGTACGTTTTCTTTTACAATGTACATGCATACAAAAGACGACAGAATGTTTCATTCACGTAAATTTCACTGTATGTACATACATACATACACACATTCATATACAAAACCACCTATAAGGCAACAAAATGTGCGCCGTCGCAAAAACAACAAAAGCAAGCGAGCAATGCAAACGCCGCGCATGCGAAGCGAATGAATAAACAAAATGTATAGAAAGAAAACAGACGCGCGCATGTACATTATGTATGTGTGTATGTATGGGTATGTATCTGTGTGCCTGTGTATAACAACACGTCTTTGGTTGTTCTTTCCCACGGTCTCATATCTGGCCAGCTAGCCAGTCAGCCAGCCAGTCCAGCTCTGTAGCTGAACGATTTGCTTTGCTATCTGAATGCGAGCCAAAGCAAAACGAGCGCAGCGACATCGGGTACGACGCGATTCCCCCCACTTCACTAACACACATACACACAGGCATAGATACAACAACTGTGTGTGTATTGTATATGGCATATTTACTTTGCGTCTTCGGGTGCACAAACAACAACAACAGCAAAGAAAAATAAAATGTTGCTTATGCTTCGGCATCGCGTTCGGCAACGCCTCTGCGGCTCCGGGTCTCGATCGAGTTTACAACTTTTTATGTTGCTGTTGTTGTTGTGGTTGTTTCTGTGCTGCTTTGTTCATTGCGCTTTACTTTGTGGTTTGTTCGGAGGAATTAAATCGCACTTTATACGATGCGGTGCGCTCTCTTCCTCTCTCGTTTGTATTTGGCTTGCACGAGTGTCGGGTCTCAGCGCAAGTCGTCCACTCTCTTGCCGCCTTTAAGCTTTTAATGGTTTTTCTTGCTTGGTCGGTTTACGTCGTTTTTTTTAGTATTAAAAAAGGGCCAAGAAAACCACATACACAAACACACACATGTACACGAGGCATATTCGTGTCCGTGTTCCAGCCCAGTTATTGTCACTGCGCATGTTGTTGCTATTGTTGCTGCTTGATCGGCGGAGTGGCAGCGCATTTCTTGTTGTGGCCTCCCTTTTTTGTACATACTCGTACATATAGCCATGTCCGCAGACGTTAATTCTTATTTTTGTGGGTATATGTTTGTAGATACATGCATATGTACATGTATATGAGTGTATATAAACGTGTATATTTCTGTTAGAATATCAAATATACTATGCACATACTTGCAGAGGTGGCTGCAATTGTTTTTTAGGTCCCATGTATGTATATGTATATCTATGGTATGAATTTCTGAACTTGTGCGTGCAACGTACACTTACGTACATATGTACGTGTAGTATGTGCCTTAGTTAAGTGACATTTCCAAACTAAGAGAATGCACATTCATACATATGTATGTGTGTACGCTTTAAAAGATCTGCTTCACCACACACACACGTATGTGTAAATTTACCCAGTCACATACTAACCGCACTTTGCATCCCACTCTGCAACACATCTGAACGCAACATACATACATATGTGTTCAGATTTAACCTTTTAATATTAGTTTCCATGAAGAGAACTCAAATTTCGCTCTACGTGATCGAAACTCATGCACCATATTTGTACAAAACATAAAAACTCATTTTTCATTTCTGGGGAAGTTTTGGCATAGCCAAGGGGTATACTGAGAAGATCGTAATGTACATAAATACGTACATAACATTACTCAAAAACTAAGTGACTTTGTTGAACCCGGATGTTTGTAGTGGTACATATAGTCCCAGAGTCAGAAGGCGCAAAGGATTCTTCTCTCATAAAAGGACTCATTGTGCAACATAGCGCTTAATTCTATAAGCAGAAGGTTAAAATCAGCCTAGAGTTGTTGTTGAGCCGTGCGTGGAGGACCGGCGTTCAGTTTTGCGAATTGCATCTATTTAATGAGCGTCACTCTAAGAACAGCGGTACACAAGCAAATGGTTTAAATGGAATATTCAACAACTAAGTAGTTGATGTTGTTTATTAGTTAACGACCACTTTTATCTTAAGTTGTTGCTGTTGTAGGGTATTCGCAGCAGAAAATTATGCTCATGTCAATTTGTTGTTGCAGTAGTGCACTGACAATTGCACAGCATGCGCTTTATTTCTAGTACGAGTATGTGTTGTCTATGAAAGTCAATTTGTTGAGTTATGTTTTCGTTTTTGTCGTTTATTTTGGTTGGCAAAGTAGCTTAGTACAGTATGTAGGGAAGGGTCGCTACTAGACCCTTCAAATACTAAGTGATTTGTGTGCGTCTCAGTAGGGTCAACATCATTCTCATAGCTGGCACATTTCAGAAACACACACTTTGCAGCATGTATCCAGCGGCAAATGTTGCGGCAACATCATCTGAGTCGAGTCAGCGGCATATGCTAGCTCTGGAATTGTTCATGCCTATGGATGTGGATGTGATGTGTGTGCAATTTTCACTTTTAATTAATCTCAATTGGTGTGAATTGCATGCGAGACTGCCGCGAAGTTTCCATCAACATATTGTAATTAATGCATTTCAAATGTTTCCGTTATATTACTGCAGTACAAGCGGGAGAGACGTGGAACTACATTGCAATTACATATTATGTATGCAATGCCTAAAGTGCGACAGTTGTTATTAGTTGTTAACATTGTTGTATTTACATATTTTTGCTGCTACATGCAGATCCGATTCCTAATACTAAGAGGTCGTGTGAAAGTGTGACAAAAAGTGGCAGAGACTTTGGTTGCTCAATTGGCCTGAGAAGCAGAAATTGCAATCGTTTTACAAAAATACAAAACAAAACATTTTAAGGCGGCGTTTGTTTTGTTTCTTGTTTTTGTTTTTTTTTTCTCCTTTTTTGTATGTAAAGTTCCACGCCAATAAAATTTGAGCAATGGTGCGGCACCATGAAACTTATGACGCCTTTTGGCGTGCTGCACAAAGTTGAGCAACATAAAAATTACAACAGTAATAGCAACAACTACAACAACAATGCGACACGACACGAAGTGCCCTGTGGACATCACGCGCTACCAGCAACAAAAACAACGAAAAGAGTTGGGATCTAGAGGGGCGCATTATGCAAAACGGGCAGAGGCGCTACAACGCCCAGCAGCGACGAAACAAACCACAGGCGTAGTTAGACACAAAGAAGAGAGTGGAGATAAGAAGAGACCTTTAAAAGAAAAAGCTGGTAATGATGGGAAACAAGTTACGTTCATGCCGTTTGACTGGGAATGGGTGGGAAGTCAATTCAAATAGTTGCCATGTGCAGCAGCCATCGTCAATCAGCCTGGCATTAAAGAATGAAATCGAAGTTCCAGAAGGCGCAAGAGATCGGACAAGCGAACAAATATGCAGCACTATTGCACAGTGGTACAAAACAGATTGGTATGAGCATGAAGCCACAATTATTAATTATCATATATTATTTGAATTAACAGAGTCTACAAGAGCCTACTACGTTTGGTGAATGTTTGTTCAGCCTGAATCCCTGATCGATTAGTATGTTATGCTGATCAAGAATGAATGAATATTCTTTCTGTCTGCTAAATACATTTGAACAAACAAAATGTACCCATTTTACCCTTAGAGTATACGGTATACAAATCCAATGTAGTGAATGATTTCGTACAGGCAAAAAAGCGAAGAGATTGGCGGCTTATGACCCATGAACGAAACAACGTTATGTTGTAAAAGACAGTGAAGGGTATATAACTTTCGAGAAGCCGAAGATAATTTGTTAAGTTGTTAGAATTCAAAACCACTGTGCGTTGACGGTTGTGGTGGTGTCGTCGCTGGCTGTGGAATCATTTACGTGGCAAATAAATCAGACAGGCAGTTATTGAGCCGAGGACCATGCTTAAGCACTGTTACGCCCTAAGGAGGTCATGCGAAATTCAGTTACTCAGTCGGGCCACGATCTCTTGGCCATCGAGCCAACCTGACAGGCAAGCATGCAGCAGCCCAGTCAGTTATCTTTGAAGCAATCGCATGAGTCGACTGAATTTGTTGCGGCAGATGCGTCGCCTAACGTGTGTCTTTCTTTTATTTGGTAAAAGTTTTACTGGCCATGGTGCACCTAAACAAGTTTCGTGGTGCCCTGCGTGGGTGACGACGACGACGTTTTCTTTGCAACTGCAGCAGGAAAAATCTGTTACTGCAGTTAGAAACTGGCAACAGGTTTGACTGGGGTTTGGAGAGTTGGCAAGATTTTTGGCTCGTGGCGGTTTTGATGGGCAACGGTAACTTATGAGTCTATGAGAAGCGGGCTACTTGCCACCTACTGGTTTGCGGCAAATTGTCGATAATGCAGCATATCAATACAAACATCTTTCAAACTGCATATAGCCAAATCTACATTTACAGATTTTTGATCTCATTCGTTAACCATTAAAAGGAAGCTCAACTACTTAGTTCAAATAGTAAAAAACACTAAGGATAAGGCAGAGGGCGTGTTAAACAACAGTGATGTATGTCCGGGTGGATTGTGGATCTATTCATTGGAATTACATACTTAAGAATACGGGAGCATTAGCTGCTTTACATACCATTTGGACACTTGCAATCGTACGTCAGTCCATTTGCACGACATGTGCCACCATTTTGGCAGGGAGATGGTGAGCATGGCTTGTACTTAGTATCACAATCCTTTCCGGTAAACCCAGCCGGGCACATGCATCTGCAAAAGAAGAAGAAAAATATAAATTAAGTTTGCTCGGAACGATGTGGATGACGATAATTGCGTAGTTGGTGTGTTTGGGCCTGACAGTAATCATTTGTTACACTCAGTTGGAAGCTGCATTAAGTAAATTGCTATGCAACTTCCGTTTTTTGCCCCTCAGTTGAAATGCATTTTTTTTTTCATTTGGGACAAGTTGATGACTCAGCTGACATTGCTCAAATTAAGTAGCACTGAAGACAATAAAGGTAGTCCACAAAGTACTCGTAGATGAACAGCCAGGCACATGATGTGATAGGTGAGGTTTGGTCGCAACTAGCGTTAGAATTTAACACGCTCTTTCTTTGATTGTCAGACACTCTCTGTCTGCCTCACAAAATCTTCGCCCCAATCCTGGTTCTCTCCAATATCAATATAATTGACCAAACTAGCAAAGGGCCGAGTGACCGGCTTACTCCAGAGAGAACGACATATGTACATACAAACAACAACATTAACTGGCATTGCTCATGGATCTAAAGTTTTTGTGGCATTCGCTCGTTCATAATTTTATAAAATTAAATTAAATCAAATTAATTATAGCCTGTACCCAAAGGGTAAAAGGTTATAATAGTTTTGTGTGAATGTATGTAACACACAGAAGGAGGCGTGGCAGACCCCACAAAGTATATATATTATTGATCAGGATGACAATACTAGCCGATATAGCCATGTCCGTCTGTCTGTATGAGCGCAACGATCTCAGCATCTACAATAGCTAGGATAACCAAACTTGACATTCAGGTTCCCCTAAGCACTAGGCAGATCGAGTTTGTGTTTTTTTCTGATACACCCCCCCACTTCTCCGCAATTCGTGTTTTTTTTTCCATAACTTCCGTAATTCTTGGAATTTCGAACTCAAATTTGGTAGTCACATCCAGTTAGTGCTTATGTGTCCATATGCCAAGTCATTATGATAGGTCAATTCTGAAGAAAGTTATAGCCATAAATAAAATCGCTGCCCATGCGCTGCTTGCTTGTTGCTTCTTTGGTTCAACTTTGTGCTACATACATACACGCATAGACCCGATGATGTAAATGTATGCTGTTGAAACTGTACATGTCTTCTATGTATATATTAAATAAATTTGATTTGATTTAGTTAATTAATTAAATTTTTTTTTAAATAATTTTATTTATTTATTTTTTTTTTTGTGGAGAGTACAGGCTATTTTACTGTCGGGCTTGCTCGACTGTAGCGTTCTGTCTTGTTTTAATAAGATTTCTCTAATCAAAAAAGCATCTGAAATTAATTTTTTTTTGCCATTTTTATTTAAATTTTATTTCCATTAAAATCCTTCTTTTAACTGTGGTATATTATGTTATCGAGCTAAAAAATTGTTCATATTACAAATTCAATCTTTATTTCAAAACTTGTACCTTAGTTAAATGCTGCTATCGCTCTCAAAATTTCGCTTGGATATGTTTTGTAGCATTGCAAGCAATTTAAGAAACTTCGTCCCCTCCATCTTTCTCAATATCCCGCTTAGTCTCTCGTTAACTATGTAACTCTCTATGTCTGTATGTTATGTAATTTGTTTCTAGTCTCTGTCCCTGCACTGCTGTCGATTTTTGTCTGCACCACTGGGGGCTTCTTGTCAGTTCAAGAAGAGAAACACAAAAGGCAAGAGCTGCGGCTCAAAAACTGGTTTTATGTGAAGGCTTGGTTTTATTGGGCTAAGGTGGAGTGCATAATTCTGTCTTTACAACATGGCATCAAGCGCGTCCAAATACGGTTAACGTTGCCGCCACACTAATTAAAACTATTAAGAGCATTTAATTATGTTGAACAATTAAACGTCAGCTGAAATAGGCAAAAAGTGTTGCTTGAAAAAGACAAAAAAGTGTAGCGGCTCAGCGAACTTCGCTCTCATTCTCTGGACAATAAACGGAATGTTTCTTCTGTGAGCAGTGCCGCTCCGTGCCAACTGGACGCCTTTGTCGGGCGGTACTTGCTGGGTAGGTAAACTTTACGTACATATTAGAAGTAGTACAATATGGTATACCCTTTCACACAAACTTTATATACATTAGTAGCCATTTCCCTCTGTCTGTTTCTATAAAAACTACATCGTCTCTTAGATTTCATTGAGTCTTGTCATAGCTGCAAGTAGAAAGTATGTCAAGACCAGGTCGGAGCACTATATCATATGTACAAATGACTTGGCTTGAAAGGAGATAAAGTAGGAAAAACTTGGTAAAGAAATTTGTTGGTCTATATTCGATATTGGGGAGTCTGCCACTATATCCAATGATGTTGTAATGTCGCATCGGTTTTCCTTTTCTACATTTTCCTCAAGTAGATTTTTTTCTAAAGACCTCGCTTAATTGTAAATTGGCCCTGTTGCTACCATGTTGACATTGAATTTTGTATTAGATTTATTATTGTAATCTGAATCGTAAATAATTGTTAATATCTTTGCAAATCAATTTCCAATTTATTGATTATTATAGTAGAATGTTAGGAGTCCATAGCCCATTCATTGCATATGCCACACAACGAGCAGAACGCATCTACATATAAATATCATGACAGGCAACATCTACGCAACACATACGGCTCCACTAGGCCCAGACCTACGTTTCATCTCTCTGGGCGCCGTGTCTCGTTGTCTTCAATATGTACGAGTTTCTATCGAGCATTTCTTTTGTTTTGTGCCGAAATTTCCATAACGTTTTATTTTTGTATAAATATGTCATAAAAATGTCGAGTTTATGTATTTGGCGTTGATTTAACAGTGGCAGTGGCAGCCATTAAGTGCGCTTAAGCGTTTCATTGACTAAACCTGTCTATTGATTCAATATACTTTAGTTTGATATGACCTGTAGATTCAACAATAATTTAAAAGGACTTAGTATGCCCCCTTCTTATGTTCTTATTTAGTTAATGAATACACGGTATTTATCTCGGAATGTGCAATGCAGTAGCTGCTCGCAAAACATATGTTCGCCTCGCACTATAACTCTTAAAACTAGAAGTGTAGGCAAGTAAATCAAGAGCTGTCGTTGTCAAGCTGTCTTGTTTATGCACAACAAAAGGTCCGATAATTTGTGTGCTTTAAATTAAAAATGCAAATTATGGAAACTGAATAATTTTATTTACTTTCGACAGCAAAGCAATGTGGCGTTCAGATCGACTAGAGATTGGTTCGATATCGAGCGGATATTTCAGCGATCAGTGATCGACGGAAGTTTTCGATCACCTTACTTCCAATTCGCTGCCATTGATTGTGATTCATTAAAAAGCCTTTGTAAATTTTAATTAGAGTGAAACCATTGTCGTTAAAGCGAATTAACAATCTACAATCTTATATAACATGCCATCAATTGGCAATTTGTTGGCCGATTCTTGCCAAACATGTTGGCAAAATCAATAAACTATTTTAATATATTTTCTATGCAAATGTGTACGCTTTGTCGCATTTGTTTGCCTTTTGTTCGCCCTGTCCTACACAATAAATACAAATCGATTTTATAAATTATTAGATTTAAATTGTCATTAATTAGGCGGCGAAGCCCCTGTACCCCTGCTATCCGCCGCGCAGCCTACAGAGATACTGACCGCTCACAAATTGATCTCTCAAACAATTTTGGTTTAAAGATAAATATGTTAATGAGATGATTTGTTTAGCTGTTTGGCTTCCTTTTGTGTGCATGTGTCTGGTGTTTAATATTTTGTCGAACAAGCAGAAAAATTTACACTTCTCGGCTTCAGGTGAGTTATAGCTTTATGCGAAAAGCTATACTATATACTATATGTGGGTACGAGTGTATGTAACAATGAATATGTGTCATACAGATGTACTTACTGGTAGGAGCCGTGCGTATTCACACAGGTACCGCCGTACTTGCATGGATTTGTCTGGCATTCCTCGACATCGTCGTTGCATGTATGGCCCGTGAAGCCAGGTGGACAATTGCAGGAGAAACTGCTGCTCCCGGCCAATGCAGAGCAAGTGCCACCATTGCGACAAGGAGAACTGGCGCAGAGATTTTGTGTCTCGCAATGTTTGCCTGCAAAGAAAAAGATGCGAACAAATGTTAAGGTCGAACCTCGTATAAATATCCAATGATTTATTTCTAGCTGGCGGCAGTAATTAGAGCTTACCCGTATAACCATTTGCACAGGAACACGTGTATTCCTGCAGCGTCTTCAGATGACAGGTGCCGCCGTTAAAGCAACGCGAGCTATCGCAAACATTCGGCACAGCTATTTCGCAGAGAGATTCGGCAAAGCCGAGTGGACACACGCAGGAGATTGTCGGTCGACCATTGCGAAAGGCCACCTTACAAGTGCCACCGTTCTGACAGCGTCCATGGCCAGTGAGACAAGGATTGCGATGCTCGCAGTAATCGCCGACGTAATGTGTTTCGCAACTGTAAAGATAAACAAGAATGGAATGCTAAATTCGAGTGGGCTCAACTTTTAAAATCCACATCCCCGAGAAAAACAAAACCCTTTCATATTTTTGAAATTAGGTATTGTTTTTTTAAATATAAAACGAAATTAATATAATAAAAAATAAAATAAAAAAAAGTGGTAAATATGTACATCAATATTGTATCTGCGTTTGGCTATGCGTTTCTGGATACCAAGTTTGGTTATTCTAGCTTTTGTACTTTCTGAGATTCTTGCGGTGATACAGACAGACGGACGGACATATGTCCCTCTGTGTATTACATACATTCGCACTAAACTAGTATACCCTTTGGGTACAAGATGTAAAGAGTAGTGATGCACAGGTTAGTAAGTCACTTGCAGATAGGCATAGTTCTGGCACCGTTACAAGTGTGTGAAAACGTTGCATACGTTTTTGTTGTTTCTGCTCCCAGCTAGAGTAGCAGCATCGGTAAACGGCGGCCAGAAATGAAAGAGCAAATACATCTGAGAAAAGTAAAGCAGAAATTGGTTGGCCTTTGCATGTGCGTACTGTTTTGTGGCAACACATTCGCACTCGTACTCGCACTGCTGCTGTTGCTGCTGCTCTTGCAAAGTTTACAGCGCACAGTGGCGTTGTTGTCGATTGTCGATCGTAATCTATTGCAGGTTGTTAAATTAAATAGTGGTAAAGTAAAATTGAACGCGTTTGGTTGTCGGCTTCGTCCGGGGAGTATGTGTGAAAAAAAAACTAAGCAACACGCTGCCAATGCCGGTGAGAAACAGATTTTTCAGTCTGGAAAATCCAGTAGTGGTCAGTATGCTGCTGCTGCTGCTGCAGATGTTGTAGCTGTTATTACTGATAGGCTCGGATAACACGTCACCTAAGCGTGTCATTCAAATGAGCTGTCAAGCATTTTTTCTTTTGCGCTGCGCAGCTGGGCAGTTCTAAGCAGTTGCAAACAACAGGCCAAAAACTTTGCATTGAAAATTAATGTAATAAAAATTAGGTGTATACACACGTACATACTAGTATACATATTTACTACACACATACATATACACACACAATTGAGCCAGGCAGCCAGTTGGTGTTGTTGTTGTTAGCCATGTTTTTGTAACTTGTTTTGTGGCTTGGCCTGCATGAAGTTGCTAGAGTTTTTAAATGAAACGCGCAGTTCAAAAAACGTGACTCGTATTGGGAAATAAACTACAACGGCCCAAGCAATAGCGAGCGGTTTCTATACCCTTGATACAAAAGGTATATTGCGTCTGATATGATATTTGCAACGCATAGAGCCCAAGGTTTATAAATGAATGTTCAAACATGCGATTTAAATAAACAGCTGCCATTGGAACTTTATAACAGACTCTTTTTTACAGAAGATATTGTTTCATTAAATATACGAACAATATTGCAGGTTTTGAATGAGCTGCAGATCCCATATTCGATATATACTTATGTACATTCCTGATCAGCACAACGCAACGAGCCGCCTAAGACTGGTCGGTCAGCCCAATATTATGCTTGAAAGCAATGATCTCGGAAAATATAAGCAGGGGTCACCAGATTTGGTGTACAGGTTTTCTTACACTCTGAGATAGAGTAGGCTGATGTTTTGTTTACTTTTTTGATGATCGCTGGTCGAAATTCTCTGGTGAACTTACTCAATAATTCGTTTTGTGTTGGCCATCAATGGTTTTGTTCTCACGTTGAACTCTAGCGTAACCGCAGCAGCGACGCACGCAGCAGCGAACGTATCAAATGCGCATCCGTCGCGGTCGCTACAGAGGCTTCCCATCATACTTGTCCGGATGATTTAGTACAGAGCATCATTCATCTTCGCAGTCAGTCAACCAACAAACATTCCAGCAAGACAAGCCATCATGCCTATAACTTCACTTCTCATTTCAACTTATCTCGTTGCGCCTTCTCCTATTTTTCTCACTAGTCAGTCAAGTCAGCCAGTCAGTCGATTTCTACGCATGCGCTTTGGCTTCTCTATGCTTCATACTCATATGTATGTATACACACATGTGTACATATGTACTTACATATGTAGATGTGTATGCACTTATGAGTACTAAACCTAGTCAGCAACCAGAGCAGTCAGTTGTTGTTTCTGTTGTTAGTGTGGCTGGTGTGGATCTAATTTCTGTCTGTGAGTGCGTTTTTTGGGGGTGCAATTCACACGCTGCTCTCCAAGCGCAATTTCAGCTGCCTGCCTGTATTTGATTTAGTTTCTTGGCACTGCCTCTAACCTGGAAACTTTGTCGAATCGACGAAAACTTTTGAGACTCCCAAATAAAAATTCGTATTGTATTACTTTGAAGCGTACTTGAATTTAATCAAAATTGTAAACGTTAAAGCTATTTTATGAAACAGTGTACCGGTTGGGTACACATTACCGACAGAAGGATGATCGTCTGTCTGCCTGTACCTGCATTTGGGAAAAGGGTTCAACCTTCTGCGACCCAACTTAGTATGTAGACTCTTCCAATCTATCGCTCCTTGCAGCTCAAATAGTAATCATGTATTAAAATTGTGAAGTAATTATTGACTGTATTGTTTACATGACCATTATTTATGTCACGCGTTTTTTTTCGTAGCCAAAAATTTTGTTTTTGAGCAAAAACAGGTATGAGTTGTAAAAATTGGATTGGCCTGTTTTCCACATTTTCCAAGGATATCTACATCATAGATATGTATGCTTAAAGAGGGGTTTTTGAACTTATACATATACTACATATGCATGTGTGTACGTCACAGCATGACGAATCGACGTTGGAAGTCGAAAAATGTTGGTACTCTGTACCTCTGTTCGCTAAGCTTGGCAGTTGTTGTTGTAAACTTGTGAAGGTGTGGGTATATGTATGTATATGTGTGTGTGTGCAACACACAAATCAAGATGGCCAACGAGAAAAGAGAGAGCCCGAAAAACTCTTATCAAGCAGCAAATATCACAACAGCGAAGCAACGTACTGAGTTGCAATTAAAAGCGCAGTTCTGTTGACAGAGGAGCCCAATTAAAGCATCATTTTTGTTTATTAGTGCTTGTTACTGCCGACTTCAAAGACGGGCGAATGGGGAGGGAAGTTTGCAGTCATTACGAGAAACGACGACTGCATTTTCGATATTGATCTGCCAGGAACCTCTTATGGACCTCTTTTTTTTTGGAACAATGTATGTGTTGTAAAGAAGTTGTGCTCGATGCATCTCCTTGGAAACAACCGCAGCTCGATTCATTTAAGTGATTGAGTCAAAAGAAGCTTCGATTAACACTTGTGCGTTTTCGTATTACTGAATCCTAGAGGCGTTTAACGGCAAGTAAACTGTAATCGCGAAATTTTCGATTTGTGGATGAGGCCGCGCATATTTTAGTTTTGCAACAGGAAATCTGTGCAAAATACAAGTATGTACAATGTATGCACGAGTTTGTACATAAATAGATAACTTTGTATGCAGATAGTGCGAATGGAAAATTATACAATGTAGGTAGAGTAATGAGTGCAGTTGGAAATTAGTCTGATTAGCGGCACTTATGTAGTTTTCGGACGAAGAGGTTGATATATACACGTAGAAGACGAATATTATTAAAGAGGTCAGCTGTAAACCATATATATAAGCCACGGAATAGCTGCGGCATTTGAAATAGACAGGTTTTTATTTATTTGCTTTTATTTTCTTCCTACAGAAAAGTACTTCTGAGTAGTGTTCAGAAGCGGGCATATCTATACATACTCGTGCATATGTATTAATGTAAATTTTAATACATTTTTTGCTTCCTTTTCGCGTGAAAGCAAGCAAAAAGAATAAAAGAGAGGTAGGTGCACACCTCCCTAAGAGTGCAGGTGCAGCATCCATTTGGCTTGCATCTGGTTCATTCCGGCTTGTGTGTACACAATGATGATTTTAACCCCGGCCAGTCGGTTGTGAGGCATTATGCCAAACAATGCATCTAAACTACTCCAGAGAGCCGGCAGGCGGCGGATCCGCAAACAAAGTGCGGGTCCTATGGCTCAGAAACACATTTCTTCCCTCCGCTTCTATTTCATTTATTCGGGAATTATATGCCCGTAGTATAGAGAGATATTTTCTACCAATTTTTGTTGATAGTTCTAAAGGCATGCAGGTAAAAACTCAAAGTTTGTATAGATCTGCAATTTGCTGACGTCAGTGTTACGCTTCAAACTCTAGATTGTAAGCCGACGCAGGTACCTACATATGGGGGCTGCTTATCTTGCATTAGGGATGATATTTCGCATGTAAATTTCGATGTATGTACATCGATGCCCCTAAAATGGGATATTGATCCAAGAAACATCGATGCATAGATGCAAGTACATGCATGTCGTGGCTTTAGGATACATTAGTTCGTACGCGAATAACATAACGGATGTGCAAGACAATTCGGACACAGTTAGTTATTTAATAATAACATATGTATATAATTAGATCCAGTTCATTTTTAAATATACGATTGTTGGTAAAATACCTACGTACAACGTACAACTATCCAGAATAAAACATTTTTAAACTAATTAATTCAGCCCCCGACCATTATGTGTTGCAACAGAAAACAGATAGAGTAAGCTTAAGTCTCAATAAGTCATTTTTGAGCCACACCATATCGTTTGCATATTATGATATAAATATAGAATAGTACATAATTCTTTGTTTTGTTTTCGTCTCCTTCTACAAATTTTTTGCACTCATTAAATGAGTGGCCACAGCTGCAATAACAAGAGCTTATTTAAATTCCAAAGCTTGAAGCTGCTGTGCACTGCATACATACAAATGCAAATACAAACATACAATACATTAGTAAATGTGGTGGGAATTTAAAACAGATCATATGAGTATGCATCATCGCCGCAACCATGATGAATTATGACATCAAATAGCGGCGAGGGCCTAGTCGCTTTAACCGAAACTGAGCGACGGGATTTATGCAATATGTCTGTATGTATATGTATGCGTGAGTATAAGCTCATTGTT